ACTGTTCAGCTTGGAAAAGAGACGCCTAAGGGGGGATATGATATAGGTCTATAACATCTTTGAATGGTGTGGAGAGAGTGAATAGCAAAGTGTTATTTACCCTGTCACATAACACAAGAACCAGGGGTCACCCAATAAAATTAGTAGGCAGCAGACTTAAAACAAATATAAGGCAATACTTCTTCACAGAATGGACAGTCAACCTGTGGAACTCATTGCCAGGAGATGTTGTGAAGGGCAGAAGTATAACTGGGTTCAAAAAAGAATTAAATAAGTTCATGGAAGATAGGTCCATCAATGGCTATTAGCCAAGATGGTCAGGGACACAACCCCATGCTCTGAGTGTCCCATAACTTCTGACTGCCAGAAGCTGGCAATGGATGACGGGAGATGGGTCACTCTATAACTTGCTCTATTCTGTTCATTCCTTCTGAAGCATCTGGCACCGGCCACTGTCAGGATCCTGGGCTAGCTGGACCATTAATCTGACCTGATATGGCAGTTTTACCTCTGTGTTTGGCACTGGTATGACCACTGCTGGAATACTGTGTCCAGTTCTGGTGACCACAATTCAAGAAGGATGTTGATAAACTGGAGAGGGTTCAGAGAAGAGCCATGAGAATGATTAAAGGATTAGAAAATATGCCTTATAGTGATAAACTCAAGAAGCTCTATCTACTTAGCTTAACAAAGAGAAAGTTAAGGCGTGATTTGATCACAGTTTATAAGTATCTACATGGGGAACAAATATTTAATAAGGGACTCTTCAGTCTAACAGTCAAAGGTATTACATGATTCAGTGGCTCGAAGCTGAAGCTAGACAAGTTCAGAAAAGGGCAACAAAAATTATTAGGGGTATGGAACAGCTTCCATATAAGGAGAAATTAAGAAGACTGGGACTTTTCAGCTTGGAAAAGAGACAACTAAGGGAGGGATATGATAAAGTCTATAAAATCATGACTGGTGTGGAGAAAGTAAATAAGGAAGTGCTATTTACTCTTTCTCATAACATGCAAATGACATGCACATGCAGAGCTTGTGTGAGGGCTCATTGAACTGCATCAGCAGAGCTGGGAGCAGGACTGGCTGCTGCAGGTCATGATAGATACTCCTGGGGGAATTCTGCATCACTGCACGTGCACAGAATTCATGTCCCCCGCAGATTTCTTTGCTTCCCCACAGAAAAAATGACTTCTGGCGGGGAAGCTGCAAGAGCGGTCACACGCCCCTCCCCAGCAGTGTAGGCAGCTTGGTTTGGGTGTCCGGAGCAGCCGGTAGGGACGTAAATCACCGCCGGGAGGGGGGTGCACGTGAGAGAGAGAGAGACACTCTGTCCCTCTCATTCGCTATTGCAGCACGCTCAGCATAGAGGGGCAGGGCTTTGGAGTGTTTCTGAGGAGGTAGGCGTGGGGCGGGCTCTGTCCCCTCAGGCAGAGCAGAATGTAGCAGCCTGCCTGCTTAGTGATTTATTCCCATTGTCTTTGTGAATTCCCCCAGGAGTATAAAACAGGTGTAAAAGTTTTAAGGCTTCTTTACATTGCCAGAGTGGTATAGAAGAAGACAGTATGGCCTTATAAATGCGTATAGTGCTTTAGTGATTAGAACTGGTCTAAATTTTTGGACTGAAAAAATTTCCTATCAAAATGTGCTCCAGGAACTGTTTGCTACTGACCTTTCTGGAGATGGTCAGTAGCCAATATAAATTGTGAGTTTTGATTCCCCTGCCCTCACTTGCTCTTCAGTTGCCTGTGATGTAACATGGAGAGCATATAGCTGCATATCTTTGTTGACTCGAAATAAAGGGTAAAACCTAGCTATATTACTATTAGGCAAGGGGGTTTGCTCCCCACTCCTGTTCGCTATCCATTATATTGTAGTTTAAATAAATTACCAAAATAATTGAAACCAGAGTGATTATATTGCATTATTTTGACAAATAAAATATGCAGAATTTTGCAGAATTTAAAAATATTGTGTGCAGAATTTTTTTTTTTTTTGGCAGAATTTTTAGTTTGGCGCAGAATTCCCCCAGGAGTAGATAGAGGTGCATTGGCTGAGCTGAGGGTGGGGGGATGGGAATGCAGAATTGTAGTCCATTAATGGGGCTGAGTGGGAAACCTTGCACAGCTCCAACACCAGCTCACCTGCTTCTGCCAGCATTGCCTGCCCTCTGTTCGTAGGCACAGTTCTCACTGAACTGCTTTTCTTGTGTTATTGGTTGTGTTTTCCAGACAATGGGGGTGGGGAGGAGAGCCAAGTAGACTTTTAGCTCTGGTCTACACTGCAGAGTTAGGTCAATGCCAGGCAACTTACATGGACCTAGCTATGGAAGCGTCTACTCTTCAGCTTCGCTTCCGCCAACGTAACTTCCCCGCTGCGCTGACTTAATAACTCCACATCCATGAGCGGCAGAGAGTCAAAGTTGATGGAGATAAGTTGATGCAGTGTCAGTGTAGACCAGTGGTCCCCAAACTTTTGAGGATTGCACTCCCTCCTCCCCCCCTTGTCTGTGCCCTGTTGGGTCCAGGAGTCGGGCCGTGGCTCAGGAAGGGGGGAATGTGGATGGGGTAAAGGGGCAAAGGCTGGGGCTGCAGCTGGAGGTGGCTCTGGGTCTGGGTCCAGGAGTGGGGCTGTGGCCAGGGCCTGAGGCTTGGAGATGAGCCACAGCCAGGCTGCGGTGGGGACCAGCAGCCGGGCAAGCAGCCAGGTGCGACTCCACTCCCGGCCCTATCCCCAGCCTCGTCCCCAGGTCGGGAACAGAGCCACAGCCAGTGGTTGAGGCTGGGGGTGGGACCAGAGCAGAGCTGAGGACTGGGGAGGGGCTGGGTGGTGCTCCCTCTCCTCTCCCTCCTCCCCTGTGGGGGCTGGTCCAGGCCCCGCTGCACCCCTTGGATGTTCCTCCATGCCTCCCCTAGGGGGGATGCCCCACAGTTTGGGGACCTCTGGTGTAGATGCTGTGTTGCTTATGTCCACTCATACTGGCTTTCAGGAGCCATCCCACACTGTCCCACGCCGACTTTACAATTGATACTAGCGCTCCTGGTGAGGATGTGCACCGCTGACACAAGGAGCAAAGTGTAGACATGTACAGGCAATGTAATTACTACGGCGGCTGCATGCCGACGTAAGTTAGGTAGATATAATTTTGAAGCATAAACATGGATTTAGCCTTTCTTGGGGCCTGGCAAAGTGCCTTGGGTATGGTCCCTCGCAGCTTTCTCTCTCAGAGGTAGGGAGTGGTGCTGGTAGCTGAATTTCCTCATGCCCTTGGACCCAGCTCTAACTGCACTCTGCTGTTCTCCCCCTGAAATGCACGCAGCTCCCTCCTGCACTCCAGACTGGATGCATCTCAAGTGCCCCACTTATTTCTGCCGTTGATTCGCCACTTAGCTCCCTCTTCCCAAGCACCCTGTGGGTAAAGCCCTCCTTGCCCACATTGCTGGCATATGGTGATGCCATTCTATAATGAATGGTGCAGCTGCCGCTGGAATCCCGTGGGCAGGACTGGCTACCCAATCTGAAAAAAGGAAACTGCAGAATTAGAGAGGTTCAGAGAAGAGCAACATGAATGATTGGGTCTGGGAAAACTCTCCAGTGAAGAGAGATTGAAATGACTGAGATTGTTCCCTTAGAGAGGAGAGGGATAAGAGGTGATGTAAGTCAGTCAAATAATTGTCTAGAAGTGATAGATTGGGAGTGTCTGTTCTTTCTGTTTGATAACACTAGAAAAAGGGGACAGTCAATGACTTTAAAAGGGAACAAATTCAACACTGATAAAGGAAATGCCCTTTCATACAGCAGGTAATCACCACAGAGTTTTGTTGAGGCCCAGAACTTAGCAAGATTCAGAGAGGAATTGGACACTTACTGGGTAGTGAGACTGTCGGAGAAAAACTGAGTTCTCACTTTTTGTTTGGGTACAGCAAGTCAGATGCTTTATTAACTCTCAAAATTGTGCAGAGGGAGAGAGCTAAGCAGGTCTCCCAACAGGTAAACAATTACAGCAAGCATTTATACCTTTTGTTACAGACAATAATGAGCAACAACTGCATTTTGTTTATACATAGGTCATTTTGATATCTTGTTTTGCTCACTAATGTAGACTCTTAG